CTACCACCCCTGCTCCTCACAACCCCTCCTCCCCACTCCTCCTCTTCTGCCCCAACCCACCAGGATCTGAATTCAGGATTGCTACAACCAGAGACCCTGGCTAATAAAGCTTTCATCACTTCTCTGAAGAGGAGAAAGCACCTTTAAAGGAACAGTTGGTGGGGCTCTAATCCCTGACTCTGGGAGAGAAGCACGTCCTGAGGAATGACCACAGTGAGCCTCTTCCATTCAGTGCAATTTGCACTCGTATTTTGGGTTATTTCTATAGTACAGGCTCTACTACCTCCACAAAATCCCTTTTGCCAGGGCTAATTTTGGATGGAAGAAGGTGCCAGAATGCTAAATTGTAAGGGCAGGGACTTTTTGGTCAACCCAAACCTGGTATATTTGCTTGCTTGTCTTGGGTCAAAAACATCACAGCCTGCCAGGCCACGGCCATTCACTCCACTGTATTAGTCCTGAATTACAAATGCCAGGTCCTCGTCCTTTTTATTTTGCAGGTATCCAACGACAACCAAAATCGATTCAAATCACCATTTAAAAACAGGAATATTTTGCATTTCATTGCTATTTCCACTAGGCAGATCTGGAGGGATTTTGAGGCTGCCATCTCAAAACACTCCAATGCACCATAGAACTTGTCTTTGCTTCTCAGCCTTTTGTTTTTTCAGCTGTCATAAAGAACTCAAAAAATAAATACAAAAGACCTTAGTAATTACTAAAAAAAAAAACAAAAACCAAAAAACCAGAAAGAGAGGCTTGAGATGGAAGCTGCCTTCTGATATTTGAACAAAGAAAGATCACATTTTACAAGTCCTTGTATCTAGGAAGACAGTGAGCCCCTTTTCAGCAAAATTAAGAAAGCGGAGCTGAGCTTGTTGGGGAATAGCACAGTGCCAGAAATTAGATTACAAGAGTGGTTGAATCTTTCCTCACATCTTCATTCCTTCCAACACTCAGGGAATGAGAGCTACCACCAATTATGGAAAAATTGCTGCAAGGTCAGAACTTGTTAATGTGCGTGTACATCACTTTCAAAACACGAAGCCGTAAATTCTGAGTCCATGACACACTAGAGGTATTTAATACATATCCTTCTTTATCATTCCTTCCTTTAATAGCTGGAAGAAATGGAAGGGGAGATAACCTCCCACCAATTATGTGGGAGCTGAAGTTTGTGTTTTGCAGCAGAGGCCGTGAGACCCAACATCCACACTGACCTGAAAACTTGGGAGCAAGTTCATAGAGGGGGTTTTTGCTCACCCCATGCACAGAACAAACTGCCATTAGGATAAACAGCAGATATAAAAGCCTCTTCATGAACAGAATGAAAAAGTGACACTGGAAGGAAGGAGCTGTGACATTCAGAGCACAGGCTGGATCCTTCTGTCGTTAATCAGGAATAACATTTACCTCTTCCCAGTGAAAACACAGCTTGGAAATGCAGTGGGATCAGCAGGACTGCCACCACCTCGTACAAGATGAGGCAGTGGTACTGTCCCTGCAAACATTTAATGCAGTCCAGATGGACTTCAAGAAAGCTGTGAAAAACACGAGGTTTTTTTAAGAGTTTGACTATTCTTTTGGTCAAAAGCTTGTAGGAGAAACAAAATTAATATGAAGAGAACTGCAGTGAAGATAGCAAAAAACCCTAAATGATCTTCGATTCAATTTCTCACAGTGCTTATAATGTCAGGGTAGGCAAAATAATAAAAAATAGAGCAAAGGAATTCCACTGGATTATTTAAAGAAATAGCTAAGAACACTGCACACAATTCATATTGGGCTCTTGCCACCTCTTATTTAAATCTGAAATTGGAAGAAGTGCACCTGTACAGAAAGGTATAAAGCACATAATCCATCAGGAGTAGGACACAAAATAATGCATCCATGAAATAAGGGACAAATACATCACACCCTTCAATACAGTAGACTGTTTTCACCTTTCACATAATTCTAAAGTAGGTTTAAATGTGAATGAATAAGAATTAGTGGGAGTAATAACATTTGACACCAACCTGGTAGCTGGTCTGGAGATCTGATAGGATTAGGAAGGATACTGTACCATAAAACTGGAAATGATCAGAAACACTTTGGCTGCAAACACTTTGCAAAACTGGATTGACTGCACTGAAGTTTCCTGTCTTGGAAATAAAATAATTTTTGACTTCACACAGCTGCTCTATTTTTGTACCGTCAGAACAAGTGTTTCAGAACTGCCATTGTGAATCGCAGTTCTGTGCTGTGTTTATCTGCTATATGACAAATCAGAACTGGAACGAAAGCCAAAAAGTATGCCTTAAATGACCTGAAAAACGAAATTCTGTCATAGTAGCTTCCTTCCAAGAACAGAAATTAAAAAAAGGAAAATTTCTAAAAATGCAGCTGAGCAGTAAAGCGAGCCCTGTAGTGCAGAAGCCTTTCACAAATGTTCATTCCCCATTCTGGCACAGCAGCTTCCAACACTTGACGCACACGCTCCCGAAGTCATGGGCACCAACGCTACTTGTAACCACGACATCAAATCTGGTTCCTCTTCTCACAGCCTGCTGCCTGGTCGTGGTCCACCCCTGCCCTGAGAGCATTTCCCCATCCCCTCCCTGCTCCTGTGCAGAGCAGCAGCCGTGCCATCCACCCTTCTGCTCCGGGAGCGCAGCCGCGCTGCGCCGCCGCTCTTCGCTGCCAGCATCCTCCTTCCTCCTTGGCAAAATGTCAGGGCAGCACTCCTGCTCCCTGGGCTGGCCTGGGAACAGGCCTGGCTGAGGCAGGGAGCTGGGGAGCCCCAAGCTGGATTGGTGCAAGAGCAAAGGAAGGTGTCCAAGCATCGCTTTGCAGCGCAGGTTCTGACGTGAAGCAAAGTCAGGTTGGGAGGAGCGTTTAAATCGGGGAAAGATTTTCCTTTTCTACACCATCATGCACAGCCCACTCCCAACTCCAGCAGCGACTTGGCCAAGGAGCTTAACACAATCCAACGCTTGGCACTATCCAGACACTTGCTTTTAGTAGCAGCATGTGAAACATTCAAGTACCAACAGTAGCAGCTTTGTAGCTTTATACTACTCCTTGCAAAGCAGGAAAACAGCAAGCAACATTTGTGATCTTTAAGTCTTCAGGTTTCAGGCAAGGAACGAGATAACAAATTCATCCTCATCAAAAGTACAGAATAAATTCTAACTGTACTCCACTGAGTCATTACACACCAAGATCTGATTTGGGAAATAGAAGCATTTATAACCTTACGTACAACCTCAGTGGGTCTACTTGTGAATAAAACCTCACATGTGCTAAACCACTGGTAGTCTTTAAAATAATTAACTTTGCAAGAAGTCAGAACTAGTTCAAAGTAGTAAAAGTTTTACAATCAGATTCAAAGCATGTTTTTTTTTTCATGTGGAAAAAATAAAAATCAGAGGAAAGTCTAGCTGAAACCCTCCATCACCTGTAATACAAGTGATACGAGCTGTTAAGCATAAGAGAAGCCTCTGGGTGTACTGAGGGCAGCACATTTCTCCCTCTTAGACCTCCAGTCATATTATTAAAGGCCTGTCACATTTTTCCGTCTCCATTTCTTCCAATTTCAGAATCCCCCTAGACATGTAAGGAGATAATAAGCTTGATAGTCACTTTTCCTACCTGAAATTATTATTTTTTTTCATCTAAGACATGCTGAATTGGGTGATTAGTCCAATCAAATCTGGTGCCTTGATTCTGGCAGAAGCCAATACTGAATCTTTGAATGTTCCCTGGAGTTATGAAGCACACACCACACCACACTAACAGAACTAGTCAAATATGCATCACTCAACACGGAGGAAAAAATTATTTCATGGCCTCTATGGCTACTGGGCCACACCTTGATACGTCAGACCTAGTTAAGATTTTTTTTTTTCTTTTTTAAATCTCTATTTATTGATCAGAAAACAATGCCAGCTTTTCTCAATGCATGTATTGATCCCAGTGTGATACCTTTTGATTAGAGAGATGATGTGGCCAATCCTCTTACATTTGAGGGGCAAAAAAAGAAAGAGCTCAGAGATGTCCAGAAATGCAATGACTGCTGAACACTCCCCATTGGCTGCGCATTTTGGCATTCATTGGCTTTTTATTACGTAGGGGACTTAACCAGAAGAATAAAGATTTTTTTTTTTTTTTTCCTTCTGTCTACACTGGGAACCAAAGAACCTAAACTCCTGAAGCAAACACAAAGTTCTGAAGGAAAGCCCCGAGGGCTCTCAGGAAATTAATCCCCACTCAGCTGACCAGTCATCCCCACCAGCAGCGCTCCTCCTGGCATCTCATGACACACATGAAAGAGCGACTACACGGCAAAAAAAACCAAAAAACCAACCCGAAACAAACTTCAGCCGCGCTGCTGGAGCCAGAGAGGGGAGATTCAAGGCGACACGGTTTATGTGAAAACAATATTCAGAACACACACTTTCTCTGCCCCGTTAATGAGCAACTCATGGATTCCCGGCAGAAGGGGCTGGTTGTGCCCAGCCATCACTTAGTTTAGCAGGAAGATGCCGAGTGATTCTCCCGGGAGCACTGGGAAGATCTACCAAAGCACCCAATCACGACGCAGAGCAGCTTAAAAAAGCAAAGAATAATAAAAAAAGCAGCCTCTGTCTCTAAAACACGGTCAGTTCTACCGGCAGAGCTTCGGATCCAAGCGCCGTGACACAGCCTAAAAGAAAGCCTGCGGGCCAGATCGGCAGATTTCCCGAGCAGGGGCAGGACAGGGCAGCCGGGGGATGCTTTTCTCCTTCCTCCCCTCCCTGCCGGCCCCGGAAAGTCTCGGCTCTGCCGCCGCTCCCCCGCGCCGGGCACCGGCACCGTCTGCCGGGAAGGGACGGGGAGAAGGGGAAGGGAGGAGGCGCCAGCTCCGAGCACCGGGACAAAGTTGCTTTGGAGCAGGGGGGGCTGCAGAGTCGCTCCCACCCAGGATAAGTTGGGTCCCCTCCTCCCCGTGCCCCCCAGCGCCCCCGGCCCGCTCCTACCGCCTGCGGCGGGGTCCCGATCAGCATCTCCAGGTAGT